TTGGCTTAATAAGGATTATGTAAATGTTATTGTGGGTTTTGTATTATGAAAAGCTTCAATATGTTTTGTTTTTAGATTGAATCAAATGTTAAAAAAAAATAGTATTTAGAATATTATGAAGTATAGGAAATGTAATGGCAAAATGCATCAATAGAGTGGTTGTAAGGACATCACCAATCTCTGGGACTTGAAGGGATAATAGAACTAACAAAAATTGAGAGGAGGAAGAAAGAGATGAGATGGTTCCTTTTATTTAAAAAACAATTAATAATTATCTTTGCTCTAATATTTATGTCAGTCTAATATTTATATAATCAGTTTTTGAAGCATACTATTTTTACAATATTCTTTTTTTGGAATCCACTGAGTAATTACTCTTTTATGGTATTAAAAATTTAATCCAGGGCTCAGTCATACTAGGCAAGTGGTCTTACCACTGAGCTACATCCTCAATCCTTTTTTAAATTTTAAAATTTCGAGAACAGAACCTTGCTAAATTGCTGATGCTGACCTAGAATTTGTGATGCTCCTGCCTCAGCCACCTGAATAGTTGGGATTACAGGCAGGCATGTGCCACCCTGCCCCATTTAATTCTCTCTATCTTTTGATTTTCTTTCTTAATTTTTCTTTTAATTGGGCTGGGGATGTGGCTCAAGCGGTAGCCTGCTCGCCCGGCATGCGTGCGGCCCGGGTTCGATCCTCAGCACCACATACAAACAAAGATGTTATGCCCGCCGAAAACTAAAAAATAAATATTAAAAAAATTCTCTCTCACTCTCTCTCTCTGTGTCTCTCACTCTCTCTTTAAAAAAAAAAAAAAATTTCTTTTAATTTTTGTTATTCACCTTAGAAGGGTTTTTTGATCCTTTTCTTTTAGCCCTCACATTCAGTATTTGGTCATTGTTAAAATTAATCTGATTAATACAGATTCTGTTAAGTTAAAATGCATATTATAAACTCTAGAGCATCTACCAAAAGAGAAAGAGACAGAATAGCTAATAAGAGGAGATAAAATAGAATTAAAACTTACTCAATTAATCCAAAGGAAGGTGGGAACAAATTTTAAAAGGAACAAAGAACAAGACAGAAGCAAATAGAAAGCTTTCTGTCATGTTCTTATAAGACCTTTTTAATTCTCCAACTTTCACTTTTGTTTTTTCCTCTTAGAAACTTAATATTATTTATGGATTTGGAAGTTTTCTGCAAAAGGATACAAATTAGAATTGTCATGAGTATTTAAATTTTTAAACAATTAAAACAACAAAAAATTATTTTTTGTAGCAGGGATTAATCCTGGGAGTACTTTACTACTGAGTCACATCCCAGCCCTTTTAAAATTTTTATTTAGAGACAGGGTCTCACTAAGTTGCTTAGGGCCTCACTAAGTTGCTGAGGCTGGCTTTGAACATGTGATCCTCCTGCCTCAGCCTCCTGAGCTGCTGGGATTACATGCATGTGCCACCCACCGTGTCTGGCTAAACAGTTTTATTGAGGCATATTTTACTAATGAAATCCACCCATTTCAAGTGTACAATTCACTAATTTTTAGTGACTTTACCCAGTGGTACAACTATCACCGTAATAGAATGTTAATTTTTTTCTTTTTTTCTGATTATTTCTGTTATGAATTCAACTGTCAGTTGTTTTATTTGTCCATCTCCACCCCCACCCTTTTTCTTTAAATGTGAGACCCTTAGTTGTTCATTAATACTTATGAGTGGAGAATTGAATTGCTTAATATATTTGGCTTGGGTTTCTCAAAAATGTAAAGTTTTAAGGATTTTGTGTTTTGTTTTAGCGGGTATCAGGACTAGATCCAGGAGGCTCCACCTCTGAACCACATCTCTAGCTGCCCTTGTTTTTTTTTTTTTTTTTTTTTTTTGAGTCTAGTTCAATTGCCCAGACTGGCCTCAAACTTGCAAACCTCCTGTCTCAGCCTACTGTGTAGCAGGAATCCAGGTGTGCATCACTGCACCAGCTACCCACTATTATTTTAGGATTATCATGTATACTGATGTCTACAGAAAAGAAGAAAATTCAGTTATGCATTCATAAAGTACATCACTGTATTTGAATAGTGGTGTTGACCTGAGGTTTGTAGTACCTAAGAAATGTATGTCACCTGGCAGACTTTACTTTTACTCTCTATAGGTTGAAAAGAGGCAGAAGAGGTATCTCCCTTGCAGTATCTTAAGTAAGGAAGATTTATCTGGGGACAAAAATGTCCATTCTAGGAGCCTGGGCTTTCCCTAAGAGACTTGAGTTTTCTTAGAGGACAGTCTCAAGTTGCGGGTAACACCATGCCATATGTAAATAAGTCTTTTATTTAATCACCCTGATTTCTGCCTCGCTATCCATTCCCCAGTCTCAGTTTTTAGAGTCTCTTGTGGCCATACGAAACACAAATAGCTTCTGCCTCTACCATACCTATCTCCTGTGTCTCTTCTGGGCTGCTCCTCTAGTTCTTAGATTGAAAGCCTTTAAACTCACTTTAGTATATAGGCTTATTCAATAAATGTATGTTCAGCTGTTTATCTTATTAAATATTGTACATGTCCAGGCTGGGCGCTGTGGCACACAACTGAAAATCCCAGCTACTCTGAAGGCTGAGACAGGAGGATTGCAAGTTGGAGGCCAGCCTGGGCAACCTAGCAAGACCCTGTCTCAAAAGAAAATGTTAAGGGCTGGGGATGTGGCTCAGAGGTGGAAGCACTTGCTTGTGTGAGGCATTGGGTTCTATCCTCAGCATCATATTAAAAAAAAAAAAAGTAAAAATAAAGGTATCGTGTCCACCTACAACTAAAAACAAATAAATAAATATTAAAAACATAAACTTAAAAAAAAAAAAGAAAATGTTAAAAGGGTTGGGAATGTAGCCCAGTAATAGAGCACCTCTGGCTTATTCCCCAGTACTGGGGGTGGGGGTGAGGGGAATAATCCAAGGACACGGTTTCCTTACTTTATCTTTCCTATTTTATATTCGCATTTCCGCTTTATGTGCCACGTCTGTATGCCCATCTCATTTCTCATATAGCTGAAAAAACAGCTACCACTGCCCATACAGTCTCCATATCCAGATGCTCAATGGAATCTAACTGCAATCCATCCCAATTTCTGCATTACCAAAAGAGCAAATCTCATTGCCCAAATGTGGCCTATATCTGGCTCAAACAGTCTGAGCAGACAGACTGATAATGATCCTTTGTAAGATCAGTGGTTAGTCAATACTGTAACAAAAGATTCCTATTAATTTCAAGCTGTTCTCCAGTAATGAAATCACTACAGACTTTGCCATAAGACAAAAGGAAAGTACATGCAAATAGTAACAGAGATGCCCTGCTTTCTACTGGGGAAAAAAAAAGAATAAATAAATTTGTGTGTGTGTGGTAATGGGGATCAAACCCAGGCCCTTGCACATGCATGATAGGCAAGTGCTCTATCACTGGGCTATGTCCATAGTACTTGTTTTTTAATTTTGAGATATGATCCCTATAACCTGCCCAGGTTAGTCTTACTCACAGTCCTCTTGCCTTAGCCTCCCCAAGTTCTGGGATTCTAGGAATGCACCACCATGCCCTTCTACTGAAGAAATTCTTAAATGTTTTCATTTCCACCCCAATTTTTTTTTAAATATAAGAAAATAGGAGAGTGCTGAGTATGCACTGTGAAGCAGAGTTATGATTATGAGATTCAAAAGTAAGTGTTCCTGTTGGCACAAAATCATCATTGAACCAGCCTTAAGTGTATCCATGTTCTGCTCAAGTTTATTCACAATAGAAAACTATTAATGTTCCCTCTTTTTAAACAAAGAAGCTCAGAATTGGGGTTTTTTGTTGCTTGATAAAGCAGCCACCTCAAGTTAGACCTTGAGCTTATATAGTACAATATTTTAGTATAATAGCAGCCCAGAAGCATTCTGCCTCTGAGCTACATCTCCAGCCCTTTTCTAGATTATCTCTATTTTGAGCAGAGTTGCTGAGAATGACCCCAGACTTGGGACCTTCCTACCTCAGCCTCCCGAGTAGCTCGGATTACAGGCACGCGTGCCAACGTGCCTGGCCCATGATGATCTTAAAAAGAAAAGTAAATCAGTTTGGGAAGATGAAAAATTCCTGAAGATGAATTATAGTGATGATGGCACAACAATGCAAATGTACTTCATGCCACTGACTTATATAATTAAAATGGTAAATTTCTTATGTATATATCTTACCACAGTAAGATAAAAGAGATGGCATATAGAGGGGAAAAAAAAACACTAAATAAGAGAAAGACAAACAGAAAACTATGTTTGTTTTTTCTGGCATGGATTGGCTTCACCTCCCAGTATCAAAATTTTAATAAACAAGATCCTATGATGTACTACAAGGTAAAAAAAATAAAACAAAAACGAAACCAAAAAAAAAATAGAATATAACAACAACAACAACAAAAAACTATTTTATTGATACATCAACAGCACAGCCAAGCAGAGCTATACCTAAAGACTTTATCCCCTATTCCACCCCCAGTATTGAAGATCAAACCCAGGGGCACTTTACCCTTAAGCCACATCCCAGCCCTTTTAGTTTTTATTCTGAACACTGAGGCAGTATCACTAGGTATCTATTAGGGACTTGCTGAGTTGCCAAGACTGGCCTGGAACTTTCGATCCTCTGCCTCAGAGTCTCAAATCACTGGAATTTTAGGCATGTGTCACTATACCTGTCTAATCATTGTATTTTAAGATCGTCATATATCGATGTTTGCACAAAATTTAATTCTGTATTATAAAGTTGTGGTATTGACCTAGGTAAAGAATAATTACAATAAATTCTGTTTATATTGTATTGAATATTTTAATATCCTAACAAGGTAAACTTACAGTTGTTTTGTAGCTTTTGAACATACTGGTTAGTCAATTACAAATTGAATGTCAATTTCTAAATGATGTTTTCTGCCAAGTAATTTTAAGAACTGAAAACCTCTTGAAGAGAATTTCATTTTTTCTTTTTAAATAGGTTCCAATTTATTGTGCCTAAGGAGTGGAACAGCAAATACAGACCAGTGTGCATTCACCTTGCTGGAACCGGAGATCATGTAAGACCTCACTGTGACTCTTTAATCCCTAGATACTTTGTTGACATAGTCTCCTTAGCAGAGGGGCCGCTGGGTTCTCAAAGCATGTCCTTTTCTCTTTCCTAGCATTACTGGAGGCGGCGAACACTGATGGCCCGTCCCATGATTAAAGAAGCCCGGATGGCTTCTTTATTGTTAGAAAACCCGTATTATATCCTTCTGTGATGCCTGAGAAGTACTTTCTCTATCTGTATATTTAGTTATCAAAAGGAATGATTGATAGTAACCAGCTTTTCCAAACCAGTTAAATTCAGTCCAGAAAATGTGTCAGCAAAAATGAAAAGAAGTAAAAGATTATTCCATGCATTTAAAAAACTAATAGAAGGATTACTTCTATTTTATAATAAAAATAATTAAATTATACTTCTAGTTTTTTATACTTATGCTGTATTTAATATTAAATTGACTGCTATTAAGAAAACACTCATGTTTTAAATGCATTTATAGTATCAGTTGAGGTTTAGAACAGTTCTTAACTTAATTTTCAAGATGACGTCAGAAGAAGAAATGAAACTGATGCACAGATATAAAGAAATGTTCAACTGCTGGTAATGAAAGAAATACAAAGTTAAAGCAATAATTACCAATGATTTGAAAAAATAAAACCTAGTACTGGGGAGGCTCTGTGAAATGGGCATTCTGATTACTAATGACTGTGAACATGAGTTCAGCTCTTTAGGAAAGCATTTTCCCCATATTTTTTAAGAGCTTTAAAATGGCCAAGCGTCTTGGTGCACACCTGTAACCCCCATTGGCTCAAAAGGCTGAGGCAGGACGATCGCAAATTCAAAGCCAGCCTCAGCAATGGTGAGGCGCTAAGCAACTCAGTGAGACCCTGTCGCTAAATAAAATACAAAATAGGGCTGGGGATGTGGCTCAGTGGTCAAGTGCCCCTGATTTCAATCCCTGGTAGCCCCTTCCCTTGTCCCCCCTCCCCCACACACAAAAACAGAACCTTAAAAGGTCTACATCTGGGCTGAGGGTGACTCAGTGGTAGAGCCCTTGCCTAGCATGCCTGAGGCCCTGGTTCAGACCCCAGCACCACAAAAAGAAAAAAGAAAATCTCATGTCCCTTGTTGGGAGTGATTTTGATTCATAGAATTTGTTGCTTAGAATTTTGATTCTAAGAATAAAATACTAGGGAAAAAAAGAAAAAAGATATTTACATAGGTTTATTTATAATAGTAGAAATAAATGCACAGTCGAGAGATGATTGAGCAGCTGGTTCATAACATTGATATTTTATATAATTGATTGTGTTGTTTTTATTGCTTTATCACTATCTTTGTGACCTTGTACCTACTAACCTTTTAGTACTTCACTTTCCTCATTGATAAAAGGGAATACATTATTAGGTTATTAAATACTTAATAATAAGCATTCAGTGAGTTTTAACTGTTACATTTTAAATTTATAATAATGTGTGAAAAGTATTCATGAAATAAAAATAGGATATAAAACTACAATTCTCAGTGGTAAAGCTTGTGCTTAGCATGCACAAGGCCCTGGGTTCAATCCCTAGCACCAAAATCAAATCAAAACAAAACAAAACCATGTAGCATCATCTAGAAATGCACCCCCCACTAACAAAAAAAAAAAAGCACCTAAAAACAGAAAATCCAAATTAAAAATTTGTGGGGACTGGAATTGTTGCTCAGTGCCTAGTATGCATGATGCACTGGATTCAATTCTCAGCACCACCTACAAATAAATAAAATAAAGGTCCATCAACAATTAAAAAATATTTTAAAAATTGTATAAGGGCAAATATTAGAAAGAAATCCACAAAAGTACTGGGCTTGGCTATAGACAAAGTTGGTTTTCTTCTAAACACATTCTTTATTTCCTGGATTTCTGTAGGAAACTTAATTTCATAAATTAAAAAAAACTGTCACTAAATATTATTTTAAATTTATTAAAGATTGTACAACGCTATGAGTATACCAAAAACATTAATTTATGTTTTAAATGGATATATTATATGTTATGTGATTGTATCTCAGTAAAATTGTATAAATTAAAAACAAAAGGCCAAGCCCAGTGTCACACACCTATAATCCCAGGTACACAGGCAGCTGAAGCAGAAGGATTGCGAATTCCAGGTTGGCCTCAGCAACTTAGCATGACCTGTTTCAAATAAAAAGGACTGGGGATGTGGCTCAGTGATTGAGCATCCATGGGTGTTCCCAGTACCACAAAAAAAAAAATTAAGAGAACTAAGCTGAAAAACCTGAGAACTTCTAAATATCCTATTGAGATAACTAGAGAGCAGTTATTTTGGTTTAATTAAATTGTGTTCAAACTTGATTATTTTGCTATAAGTTTGTATGTTTTACGGCAAAAGTATATTTAATTATTTCAAAACTTTCTCTTTGACCCACATTCTTAAATGGCTGCAGGAAACCCAAGGACCAAGTGTAAGTATGAACCACCTTTATCTTTGAAGTACTAATACCTAATTTTCAGTAATTTAAAAAATGTTGGTATCCTTCAGTTGACTATTTACAAGTTTAATATCCATGTGTTATTGGGGGAGGGGTTGTTATGACTGTAGTAGGTGTGTTTACTTTAATTCTTATTTGACTTTCGCATTTTAATGTATGATAAGGAGGTCCAATAAGACATTGTAATAGATTGAATTAAGATATATTATATTTCTGATTGGAACTATACTTTTTTTGTTTTTTGGGGCACCAGGAATTGAACCTAAGGGTACTTTACCACTGAACTACATTCCCAGTACTTATTTTGCAACAGGGTCTCCATAAGTTGCTTAGGGCCTGGTTAAATTGCTGAGGTTGGCCTTGAACGTGCAATCATCCTGCCTCAACCTCTAGAATCACTGGAATTACAAGCATGCGCCACCACACCTAGCAATACTACTTTTTATTCACAATGCATTTTACAGAAAATGTGAAGATATGGGCTGAGGCTGTAGCTCAGTGGCAGAGCGCTTGCCTAGCATGTATAAGACCCTGGGTTCAATCCTTAGTACCACATAAAAATAAACAAAATAAAAGCATGCTGTCCATTTACAACTATAAAAAAATTTAAAAAAAAAGAAAATACGAAGATAAACAATTCTCTTTCTGGTCTTTTAAAATGATGAACTTTGATGGCAGTGTTTTTTTTTCATTTCTGTAATCTCTGTTGTGTTTGGTTCATTCAATAAAAATTTGACCCTATACATGAGAAATATAGCAACTGTTATTTAGAAAAGCATCTATTATTAGAAAAGGTCCTCTTAGGCCTGGGGATGTGGCAGTGGTAGAATACTTGCCTAACATGCTATGCCTGGGTTCCATCCCAGCATATAAAAAAGAAGTGGAAAGAAATAAGTCCTCTCATAGAGCTCATATTCCAGAACTGTAGATAGATGGGAATAAATTAGCCAGTCATGAATGCTATTTGGGAGGCCGAAGCAGGAGAATATCAAGTTCAAGTCCAGCCTCAGCAACTTAGTAAGACCTTGTCTCAAAATAAGAATATAAAAAGGGTTGGGCATCCAACTCTGGTAGGAGCACCCCTGGGTTCAATCCCCAGTATCACACACACCAAAAAACAAAGAAACAAGCAAAAAATATCTAGAGGAGTCTACTAAAGTGTAGTGAGAGGCAGCCAGGGTTTAAAAGAAGGACTCTTGAGTCATAACATACATAACTTGAATTTGTCACTTGCCATTTATTAATTGTCTGATCTTGGTCTCTATTTTTATTGTGTATGTATTTATTTACTTTTCAGTACTGGAGATTGATTTCAGGGATGTTTTTCCACCAAGGTACATCTCAGCCCTTTTTATTTTTTATTTTTTTTATTTTTTTTTTTAAGAGAGAGAGAATTTTTTTTTTAATATTTATTTTTTAGTTTTCGGCGGACACAGCATCTTTGTATATGATGCTGAGGATCGAACCCGGGCCGCACGCATGCCAGGCGAGCACGCTACCACTTGAGTCACATCCCCAGCCCCAGCCCTTTTTATTTTGACACAATATCTCACTGGGTTTCTCACTATCTTAACTGCCACAACCCCTTGAATATCTGGGATTGTTGTTGTGTGCCACCATGCCCAACTCACCTTGGCTTTTTTAAGTACCAGTTATCTCATTTATAAAATGGGAACATTAACCAGGCCTTTCTCAAAATAAAAAAGGCCTGGGGGTATAGCTCAGTGTTCAAGCTACAGAGGCTGAGACAGGAGGATGGCAAGTTCAAGGCCAGCCTGGGCAACTTAGTGGAACTCTGTCCCAAAATAAGAAAATTAAAAGGACTGGAATATAGCTCAGTGGTAGAGTGCTCCTGCGTTCAATCCCCAGACCTGCAAAATAAATAGGTAGGTAGGTACTGAGTGAGCTAGTTGAAATTCAGTAAGGATTACGTTTGTGATTAATATATAGAACAATGTTAGCAGCACTCTCATTTTGTCAATTTTTTCCATTGCTTTTCTTTGTTGTCTAGTCTTGTAAGGGAAGAACATGAAAACTGGGTGCTAATGAAAATCTGCATATATTAAAATATAAATGTATAAAATAAATCATTTTCTACTTTGTTTTGTGACACTAGAAGGTCCAGCTTAAAAAATGTATCTGACCTTTTTGTGATGGGAGGAGCTCTTGTTTTAGAATCTGCAGCTCTCTTGCACTGGCTAGAGAGAGAAGGTTATGGACCTCTCGGAATGACCGGAATATCCATGGGAGGACACGTAAGCCTCTTCCTTTCATCTTACATTTTATTGTGATTATGCTTATGGGAGCTAGGGAATCAGGTTATTTTTAAAATTCACTTTAGGGATAGAATTATTTTTAGTTTTGGAGAAAAAACATCAAATTTCTAAACCTTCTTTCCAATTCTGATGTGACAATGTAATTTTTGGTATGATTAATATAGACTTTTTTGGTACGACTCCATAGATATAGCTCAGACATTGGATTTAATATTTTATCCAGAGTTTATTATAAAATTTAACTTTACATTTGACAAGTGTGAATGTCCCATTTTGCTATTAAACTGGTCAAGATAGCTAAACCATCTCCATCCCTGGTTCCACCAACATATTTGACCTTTATCTGTCTTCTAGCGTGTCCTGAAACAGACTCCTTGTTGGTTTCTTCCTGTATCTAGTCTTTTCTCTCATCAGTCTTGCTTATAACAAATATCCTCTACACCATAACTAACTCACTCTACACCAGTCTGCCCTGCTCTCCTGTGCTAAAAACCTGCCAGAAGCTTGCTTTAACAGTGAGTTCTCATTGTCCCCCATGCTAACACTCTTTAGTGCCCCTCCATGCCCTCACCTAGCCCAGCAACAGCTTACTTCCAGTCTCACCCACAGACTGGGCTTCATCTCTCATTAGTACTTTTCCCTGAACTATGATGATTTGTCTAGTTTAGCATTCCGTTTTTTCTATAAAGCAGTTGGTTCACTGAGGGCCAAGAATGTCTCAAGTATAGGATGTTTTCTGAAGGTCATTTGAATTATAAAATTAAGTTTAAAAACTCAAAATTCAAAACAATTACCAAGTCAGGCATGAGAGCACACACCTGTAATCCCAGTGACTTAGGAGGCTGAGGCAGGAGGATTACAAATTCATCAACAACTTAGTGAGAATATGTCTCAAAATATTTAAAGATAATAAGAATTAAAACTACCAGATAGGCTGGGGATGTGGCTCAAGCAGTAATGCGCTTGCCTGGCATGCGCGGGGCACTGGGTTCGATCCTCAGCACCACATACAAATAAAATAAAGATGTTGTGTCCACCGAAAACTGAAAAATAATTATTAAAAAATTCTCTCTCTCTCTCTCTCTCTCTCTCCCTCCCTCCCCCCCCCCCAGTCTCTCTCTCTCCTCTCTCTTAAAAAAAACTACCAGATAGTGAAACTGAGGGTAGAAAAGGATTCATATTCCTACCTACTAGTGTTTCCATGTTAGCTTCCTTGAATCACTTCTTTGACAATGTCACTCCTTCATTCAGACTTCTTTATTAATTCCTTATACAACAAAGGGACCACTAATCTGATCCTAATTAATCTTTCCAGCCCTGCCAGTCTCATTCACCCTTTTGGCCAGTAAGCTATTGACCAGCCAATGAGCTGTTCCCTTACCAAACCCTGTGCTTCCGTGTAATCTTGGCTTTGAACATATTAACTCCCTTATGCTAGCCAAAACCCCGTCTCGTTACCTTGAAAGACTCTGCCATTTCTTGAAGCCTTCTATGATTCCTCCAACCAAAAGGCACGTTTCCCTTCCCTAAACACACACATTCCATCATGTCATGCTCCTGTGTAATCTGCTCTATAGTTCCCCCATGCTTGGTGTCCCCAGTCAGCCTTGAGGTCTGAGGCTGCCTGGTGGACACTGCAGCACTGAGCAAGTCACACCAGTCGTGAGTGAACTCAGCCTGCCACCCTGCCTCCACCTCTCAGCACCTTTGCTCAGTGCTCACTCAGTAGAAAGCAGGTCTCAGCGAAGCATCTCCAGGTTCTTAAAATTTTCTTTTATACTTTATTGCTTTCTTCTTTTTAAATATTTATTTATTGTAGTTAGGCACAATATCTTTATTTTATTTATTTATTTTTATATGGTGCTGAGGATTGAACCCAGGGTCATGCACGTGTGAGGCGAGTGTTCTACCACTGTGCCACAACCCCAGCCCTTGGTACTTCATTGCTTTCTGAGGAGGAAATTATGGTTGAATTTATGATTTGGGGAGTTTAGCAAGGTCACTAGACATGCTCATGGGTGTTTATGTTTATGTCTGATCTCAACTTACCTCAGAAAGTACTTCTTAGTATTGAATATTTTTAATTTTAATGAATAGGAACTTTAAACAGAAGCTCTCTAAACTTACTGCTAATATGTTACAGATGGCCTCCTTAGCAGTATCCAACTGGCCTAAGCCCATGCCACTGATTCCATGTCTGTCTTGGTCCACAGCATCTGGGGTCTTCACTACGGTAATTTAATGGCACTTAATATTTAGATAGCTATATATATAATTAAAGATAATTGGGTTTGGGGTTCCCAAGATCACCCCCAGGTTTGGTGATTTCATTAGAAGGAATAACAAGACTCAACATTTATTTGTACTTGTGACTAAGACTTAGTGGAAGGATACAACATAAAATTAACAGAAGGAAAAAGCACAAGGCACAGGCCTGTACACACTCCCTCACCCAGTGAAAACTCTCAATTGTGCTTAGTTCCTCCAGTGAAAAGTGTGACAAAGCACGCAGAGTGCTGCCCAGCTGAGCCTGGCACCAGGGTTTTTAACCCAGTCAGCAAGTCAGGCATCCTCTGCCTAGCAAGAACCAAAATTGTAGAAGGGAAGCAGTGTTAAAGAGAAACTACATTGCCTGTATAAACAGCCTGGGCACAATGATCCACTCTTATCATTTAGGGGCAGTCATATCAAGGTAATGGAGTGCTTATTCCTCAAGTTCCAGACTCCAAGAAGGCCCAGCCTTGAATGCAGGCCTCCATAAGGACAGGCAATCTCAAGACTGCTGTTTTCACTCTTTTACACAGTAATTAATAAAAATAAAAGTATTGGGCAAAATATGGTGTCACTTGATCTTAATTTAATTTGTTATTTTAGGGTGTATTGAGTAAATCAATTAATTGGAGGGAGCTGGAAAAGCAATATTATACACAGACAGTTTATGAAGAAGAAATTATTCACATGCTTGAATATTGTGGAGTAAGTATTTTAATTTCAACATAACATTGGGGGGAAAGTCAATTATATATTTAGTGATTCCATTTTTTTGTTGTTGGTACCAAGGATTGACTAAGAATGCTTTACCATTGAGCTACATCCCCAGTCCTTTTTATTTTGTGAGGCAGGATCTCCATAAGTTGCTAAGGGCCTTGCTTAATTGTTGAGCTGGCCTTGAACTTGTGATCCTACTACCTCAGCCTTCCAAGTCATTGGGATTAGTGATTCTTTTTTTTTTTTTTTTTTTTTTGGTGGTGCTGGGTCTTGTGCATGTGAGGCAAGCAGTGCACCAACTGAGCTATATCCCCAGCCCATAGTGATACAATTTTTAAACAGTATAGCCAATTTTTAAAGATACACATACTATTTTAATTTTTTTTTTCCATTTTTAACTTTGGGGACTCAGGAAGCTGAAGCAAGAGGATCAAAAGTTTGAGGCCTTCCTGACCAATATAGCAAGACCCTGTCTTAAAGTAAAATGAAAGAACAAAATCTACCAAATTATGCTATGTGCATTTACAACTATACCACAGTCAATCCCACTTGTATATAATTATAATGCATTAATTAAAATAATAACAGAAGGAACATCAGTATAGTTGGATCAGGGGAAGGGAGAAAAAGGAAAAGTGAAGGTAAATGGAGAATGAGATTAATCAAATTGTATGCACATACAAATATGCATATGAATCTCATATAATTATAATGCATCAGTAAAAAATAAATAAAATTTAAATGGCCTGGGGTGTAATTCAGTGGTGTAGCACTTAACTAGCATGCACAAGGCCCTGGGATCAGTCCCCAGTATCGCAAAAATTATTCATTTTGAAAGAAAATTATGCAAAGCATATGTAGTCTTTATTACACTTATTAAAATGTAGCTGTGAATGTGGCTCAGTAGTAGAATATTATCCTAGCATTCATGAAGTCCTGGGTTCAATCAAGGGTACAATAACTTAACTATCCAATTGGAAATCCTTTTCATGTATCCTAAACACAGGCCTACTTTCCCCAACTCTTAGTAATCATTATCCTTTTATAGTAACTGCTTCCTTTTATGTTTAAATAATTTTATTGTTCAAATGTGCATCCCTGGATACTAAAATGTCATGGGTTTTTTTTTGTTTGTTTGTTTGTTTGTTTTGTTGTTGTTGTTTTGGTACCAGGGATTGAACTCTGGGGTACTCCACCACTGAGCCACATCCCCAGCCCTATTTTGTATTTTTATTTAGAGACAGGGTCTCGCTGAGTTGCTTAGCACCTTGCTAAATTACTGAGGCTATCTTTAAACTTGTGATCCTCCTGTCTTAGCCTCCCAAGCCACTGGGATTACAAGTGTGCACCATCGTGCCTAGCTAGTTTCATGTATTTTTTAATTGATAAATTTCTTCCATTCCTTTCTTTTCTTTACAATTAATTTCTTAAAGAATTTGCCTATTAGACCTGTTGATTTGTCACATTCTAGATTTTTCTGATTATATCTCCTGGTACAATTCAGCATACTGTTTTATATAGCCTGCGAGATCAGCAATTGGATCTAAAGGCTTGATTAAACTTGGTTTTGATTTCACTCACAAAGCAAATAGTCTTTGGTTGTCTTTTATTTATTTATTTATTTTTTTTTTTTGTAGCCTCCACTGATACTTTTTTAACAAACATTTATTTTTTTAGTTGTCCACAATACCTTTATTTTCTTTATTTATTTTTATGTGGTGCTGAGGATTGAACCCAGGGCCTCGCACATGCTAGGCGAGCACTCTACAGCTGAGCCACAACTCCAGTCCTCCACTGATATTTAATGGCTATGTCTTTTAATTCCTTGAGGATGGCAAAATGCTCATATTTTAATTATCTCTTTGTAATTCTAAGGAGAATGAATTGGTTCCCTGTTATTCTTCAAGGGTGACCAGTTCTTTCCATGAGTTGAAAATTTTTTCAGTTTCAAAATTACTGAGTCTTGGAGTTTCTGAAAGCAAAAGAATATTTTTACTATCCATGAGAACTTTTTATTTCTAATTATGACAGTGAACCTCATACTTGTAAAGTTGGTCCACCTTCTATATCCTCAAACAGTAGTTATTTGCTTAAGAACTTCATTATAGTCAGGCAAGGTGACACTTGCCTGTGATCCCAGCAACTCAGGAGGCTGAGAGCAGGAGGATCCCAAGTTCAAGACCAGCCCCAGCCACTTACCAAGACCCTAAGCAACTTAGTGAAACTCCGTCTCAAAATAAATAAAAAGGACTAGTGATGTAACTCAGTGGTAAGCACCCATGAGTTTAAACCCCAGTACTTAAAAAAAGAACTTTATTACAAAATAGCTTCACCTACTAATTGGTTGTATCCCACTATACCTGTTATCAGAAATTTGTCCATATTTGAAAGCTTCTGAGAAAATTTACATGTATTTTTAAAGGAAAATTCATAAATTTCATCTGCAATGAACATGTATTCTTCCCTACTACTTCTTGTCTCTGAACCAGTTCACAGTAATAAACTGTCTTTTCATTTGTGTTTTCCCAGTCAAAAGAAAGTAAATTTCTCAGTGTACCGTTCTGATCCTTGTACTTCCAGGTTTTATATTTGTGGATGTGATTTGTTCTTGTTCTCAAGGATGTCAATATTTTTATTTGCTTGCTTTGAACCAGTTTTTAATTCCTTAGTTTCTGAAATAGATTATATTTATATAATAAGTCGTATAGTTTAAGCATCAAAAATGATAAAAAGGTAGCTGGGTATGATGGTGCTCACCTATAATCCCAGTGACTTTGGAAGTTGAAGCAAGAGGATTACAAATTTGAGGCCAACCTCAGCTATCAAGCAAGTCCCTTTCTCATAAAATAAAAGCAGGAGCTGGGGTTGGGGCTCAGTGGTAGAGCACTTGCCTAGCATGTGTGAGGCACTGGATTCGATTCTCAACACTGAATATAAATAAATGAATAAAATAAAGGTCCATCAACATTTAAAAAATATATAATAGAAAAAAATTAAGTAAAAACGGGCCGGGGATACAGTTCAGGGGTAAAGTGCCCCTGAGTTCATTTGCAGTATCACTAAACAAATGAATGAATAAATAAACAAAAAAATTTCTACTCCCTCTTCTTGCATTGGCCTAAGTCTGTCCCACAAAACAAAGAACCTACTGTATTACTCTTGAATCGTTCAGGGAATTGTTGGTCCATATCCAAACCATACAAATATGCACTTTTTTCTCTTCTCTGTTTATTCATTTGTTTGTTTAATTTAGTGTTTATGTGCTGGGATTGGATGTGCTCTACCACTGAGCTACATTCTCAGTCCTTTTTTTTTTTTTTTGAGAGGGTCGCTAAGTTGCCCAGGCTGCCTTGAACTTGTGATCCTACCTACCCCAGCCTCTCAAGCTAATGGGATTATAGGCATGCATCACCACACCTGACTAATAAAGCCCCATTTTATATTAAATTTTTTTCTTTCATATATTCAGACAGATTCCTTCAAAATGGGACAAGAGTTCGTGAAACGCTTCTCTAGCAGTGCAGACAAGCTACCTAACCTCAATCTAGTTTCTAGAACTATAAATTTAGATATGACAGACCAAGTTGTGTCCCAGAAACCTGCTGAGTGCCACAATTCTAGTAAAACTTCTCTGAGTGCTTCATCAGAAGGACTGTTGTTGCAAGATACCTCTAAGATAGAGTGCTTGGCTCAAACACTTAAAACCAACAAAAGTAGTTACACAGGTTACAGCCCTCAGTCACATCGTCTACTCAGCAAAGAACAAAGAAGAAACCATCTTCAAAAAGAGTCTTTAATATTTATGAAAGGAGTCATGGACGAATGTACTCATGTAGCAAATTTCTCAGGTACTAATTTTTATATAAAATTGAGAAGATGTCCTAATGTATAAATATTTGTGAAATATATTTAAGGATGCTTTACAGTTTTGTATTTTCAAAGGTATACTTTTTTGTTGGCTTCAGAAAGTGTTTAAATTGGTCTTTTAAATGTATCATATTTTATTCATGAAAATCTAAGGGATTATTCATTTAAAAAATACATTGGAGGGCTGGGGATATAGCTCAGTTGGTAGAGTGCTGGACTGGGTTCAATCTCTGACACCACACAAAAAACAATTGGACCACTTAGGAAGATGAGACAAGAGGATTGCAAGTTCAAGGCCAGCCTCAGCAATTTTGTGAAACCCTGTCTTTAAATAAAAATTTAAAAGGTGGGGCTTTAGCTCAGTGGTAAAGCATGCCTGGGTTCAATCCACAGTAACAACAACAACAACAAAAAAAAAAGCTGTGATCAACCAAAAAATAAAAAATAAGTTGGAGGGGCTGGAGATGTAGCTCAGTGGCAAAGCGCTTACCTAGCATGTCTGAGGCACTGGGTTCGATCCTTAGCACCATATACAAATAAAATAAAGGTATTCTGTCCATCTACAACTACAAAAAAATTTTTAAAAAAAAATATGTTGGAGCCTGGCACCATGGTGCATGCCTATCATCCCAACTATTCCAGAGGCTGTGGCAGGAGGATCAAATGTTTGAGGCTGGACTCAGCACCTTAAAGATCCTACCTCATAATATTTTTAAAAGGCTGGGGATATAGCACAGTGGTAGAACACTTGCTTTTCATGTGTGAGAGCCAGGGTTCCACCCCCTGGCTACTTACAGTAGGATCCACCCCTAGGATTACTTACAGTACTGCAAAAAAATAAAATAAATACATTGGAGGGGCTAAGGTGTTAACCAGTACTAGAGCATGTGCTTTCATGCATGAGGTCCTGGTTCAATCCCCAGCACCCAAAAAATAAAATAAATAAAACACACTGGATTTTATATCCTTGGAATATTTATCTCACTGTATTAGAATTATCATAGTAATGGTGACATTACGGTTGATTTTTAATTTAAAAGTCATAACTTGACTGATGTTTCACTTACTGTACTGTGTGGTGTGTTTATTTTCTAATATGTTTTAGGGTATTTATATAAAAATTTTAAAGCTTTTTAACATGTAAAACCCTATACCTAGTTCCAGTTGACCCGAGCCTCATTATAGTGGTACAAGCCAAGGAGGATGCCTACATCCCACGAACAGGAGTTCGGAGTCTACAAGAAATTTGGCCTGGTTGTGAAATCCGATACCTAGAAGGGGGTCATATTAGTGCTTATCTTTTTAAACAAGGACTTTTCAGGTAAGATGATTTGTTATTTGCTGCTTGTTTGGTCTGTTGTATTTTTTCCTTATTAAATACAAAAAAAAAAAAAATTTGTTTGTTTTGTTTTGGTATATTTTAGTCCTCTTACTTCCTTTTTACCTTCCACAAACCTCACATTGAGGTATTTTTCCCTCTTTCCCATTGTGTCCTTTTATTTTTTTCTTCTAGAGAACTGGGATAGAAAGCCTAAATGGCTACCAGAAGCAGGCTTTATTGGGAGGTTTTACCCTCTTTAACTCAATGGTTGAGCCAGGTATGGGGGCTCAAGCCTGTGATCCCAGCTTCAGCAACTTAGCGAGGCCTTGTCTCAACAAACAAAAGGCTAGAACACTAGTGGTGGAACACTCCTGGGTTCAATCCCTAGTCCAAAAAAGAAAAAACCTATATGTATCAATGGGAAAGTGTTTTCAGGTATGGGAAGAAACACTGTTTTGTAGAAATTGTTTTGGTGCCTCAAGAACTTTTTTCATCCCACTCTATCATTTTCTCAGAATGACCTGAGTATCTGTGAAATAGCCTAGCATTGGTTTTTTTGTTTTCTTTTGGGGTACTGGGGATTAAATCCAGGGGCACTTTACTACTGAGCTATATCCCCAGCCCATTTTATTTTTTATTTTGAGACCGGATCTTAAGCTGCTTAGGGCCTTGCTCGGTTGAGGCTGGCCTGGAACTTCTGCCTTAGCCTCTGGAGTTGCTAGGATTACTTACAGGCATGCTCCATTTCTCCAGGCTAGCAAAGTTTTTTAGTTAGAAGTGAATACCTTAAATGAGGAGTGAAATATTGATTTTAATGTTACTGACCTGACTCCACTATTTTATAACTTTTAATTTCCTGATGTCCTGCATAATTTTTACTTCTATCCACATTTGATCATAAAATGTATTATTAGAATGTATTTATCACTAATGATAAATTAGTGATTTAGTTAGTAAATTAGTTCATGTAAGTGCTTAGATCAGTGCCTTGTACACAAGCTTTCAAAAAACTGCCAGCTTGGCCAGGGTTGTGGCTCAGTGGTACAGTGCTTGCCTAGCATGCGTGAGGCATTGAGTTTGATCCCCAGCACCACATAAAAATAAACAAATAAAATAAAGGTATTGTGTCCATCTCCAACTAAAAAACAGAAACAAAAAACAAAAGACTGCCAACTGGGTAGCTATATAATAGAATTGTTGTGAAGTGTTTAGCTCTTGTTTACCTAAGAAATAATTTTTTGTACATTGTTGCTTACCAAGTCCAACTTACAGAGGTCACCTTTTTGAGGTACAGACTAATTCTTCAACTCTGTAATATTTTGAAGAACATAATAAACTTTTCTTTTTATAGAATGATTTTTTTAAAACACCCATTCAGCATTTGAATTCTTGTCAGTTGGTAAGTGAGTACACCATCTATCCAGTATTCTAATGACCCTCTGGCAACAATATAGGGTTGCTTTGATTGCTCAAGTCTTAAGTTCTGATATGTATGTGAATGCAGAGGGCCCATATGCTTGCAGTATTGAATTTCCTTTACTCTTCAGTGTAGCTAAATGGGAACATGATCAAAAGACATTAGGAATAGTAGATAGTCCAAGTCGGATGTAAAAACTCAAAATTGGAAGGCATTTAACTAATTGGAAGGCATTTAGCCTCCTGCCCCCGACCAGTTGTGCCAAAACTTAAAGCTGGGACTGGGGTTGTGGCTCAGCGGTAGAGCAGTTATCTAGAATGTTCGGTTCTGGATTTGATCCTCAACACCACGTAAAAATAAATAAAATAAAGGTGTTGTGTCCAACTACAACTAAAAAAAATAAATAAATATTTAAAGGAAAAAAACAACTAAAGCAGGCCAGGTTGCCCAGCCTGTAATCCGAGCAACTCCAGAAGCTAAGGCAGGACAGCAAGTTCAAGGACTCCCTGGGCAACTTAGACACTGTCTGAAAATTCAAAGGGCTGGGATATATAGCTCAGGGGTAAAGCACTCTTGAGTTCATTTCCCATTATTGAAAAGAAAACTGTTCCCAACATATTGAAAGTCAACCAATTAACAGGCTGTCAGTTTTAAAGATAATATTTTTATTGGGCTGTGGGAAATGCTTAAATAAGTAGGATGTAAAAATCAGTGTGATTTCTTAATTTTTATATGACTTTCTCTCCTTTCCATATTTTAAGATTTTCTGGATATTCTGTAGTGAAAATGTATTGTACAATAGCAGGGAAGCCCCAAATAAGCTTTAAAAATGTTTTATGGGAGACAGAACAATTTGCCAATTCCTTTTCAATTGAAATTTCTTTTCTTTTTTTTAAGAGAGAGAAAGAGAGAAATTTTAATTTTTATTTTTTAGTTTTCGGTGGACACAACATCTTTGTATGTGGTGCTGAGGATCGAACCCAGGCTGCACGCATGCCAGGCGAGCACGCTACTGCTTGAGCCACATCCCCAGCCCTCAATTGAAATTTCAAAATAAATTAATTAACGTAGGAAGTTAGGCTTTTGATTCTGGAATCAGTTGTCAGGCTGTCTCCCCCTCTGAAGAGAGCTGGCATTCTCCCTTGAGTGTGTATTCTTTGCTTTACCCCAAAGGCATCTATGGAGATGGCCCCCATTCCCTTGAATATGTATCTACTTCCTAAACTAGCCCATCTGTGTCTTAAAAAAAAAAAATTCAGTTGCCAGGAACATGTTCTTAGTAAACAATCATCTGTGTAATAATCTGAAATACATTGAATCCCACATTCTGAAAAGTGACATAATTAATTTTCAACAAAGTAACAAAAAGATAATGAAAAGACACCAGTTTTTATCTTACCACTTACATCTGCTTTAAAAAGTGCTTTAGAGGGGCTGGGGATGTGGCTCAAGCGGTAGCGCACTCGCCTGGCATGCGTGCAGCCCAGGTTCGATCCTCAGCACCACATACAAACAAAGATGTTGTGTACGCCAATAACTAAAAAAAAAAAAAAAAGTGCTTTAGAAAAAGATGCTCCTGGAGACATCAGCAGTTGACATCTGAGGTTTTTCCAATCGTGTAGGTCATATGGATGCAAACCCTGCTCCACCCGATCCCTGCCTCTTCTGCAGCTGTTTGGAAAGGAAATTAGCGTGGGAACCACAGATTATTTTGGAAATACTTTCAGTAAAGGGGTTGTCTGCCCCCACTTCCTTTTTACTAATTACTTACAGGTTTTCCTCCATATTTAATTTTAGACAAGCCATCTATGATGCATTTGACCGCTTCCTCCGTAAATATGCCAACTGATTGGATCACTGTGTTATGCAATCAGCGAGCAGTTTTTACAAGAGGAATTTTTATCCTGTGACAATGTGAAGAACAAGCAGACAGCACTGGAGTCCGGAATTCAGTGTTGCAGATCAGTCACCTATAAATTCTAAATACATTTCAGTAATTTTAAAACAATGTTTGAATTAAATAATCTTAAAGTATGGTGTTTCTGTTTGTGGAAATCCCATATGCTCAATATCTAGTCTATTATAACTATTTATGAAAACTTTACATTTTCAATTATGAATAATTTATTAATTTAAAATAAATGTATCCATGGGAACATGTTGTTTTGTTTTGTTTTTTCCAGTGCTGGGGATTGAACTCAGGGCCTAACACATGCTAGGCAAATACTTTACCACTGAGCCATAGCCCCAGCCCCAAACCTATAGGTTTTTAATAAAATTGCTAAAACAAACAGATTGTTATATATCAACCTGTACTGTATGCCCTTATATGACATTTCTGCTATTAACTTGAGAAATATGTGCATATTTTTGATGCGTAGTGAACTTCTACTGTTTTCAACTCTAGTTAATTTTCTGCCATAGAAATACTTGTGATGTGTAAAATCAGTCTTACCTTTGAATTCTTAAAAATCTTAACTGCTTTGTAGACAAGTGCTTTTTAATAATTAAAGTGATTGCTGAATTATAAATAAGATGAATTTCACTGGGCTAGACTTTAAAATTTTACCAAAAATTAGGTTAGAAAATCGTGCCAAATTTTCAGTTTGCCAGACATGGTGGTATACACCTGTACTACCAGCTGCTTAGGAGGCTGAGGCAGGACAATCACAAGTTTCAGCCACCCTGAGCATCTTAGTGAGACACTCTCTCAATAAAAGGACTGGGGATGTTGTTCAGAGGTAGAATGTCCCCGTTTAATCCCCAATACTGAAAAGAGTTTCAATCCATGAAAAATGGAAATGATTAATCTATTGCATTAACTGATGCTTACTCTAACATTTTCCTGTGTTCCTAATCTTCAATTTGCTAAACATCTGACTTTAGCCCAAAATATCTCACAGTTTTGACTTTAATTTCAGAATTCAGTAACCACAATAAAATTGAGTTGTCCTATGGAAACTTCATTTTTACAGAAAAACTATATATACTAGTTACTGATTTTTTTGTAGGGGATTATATGGCTAGATTTGGTGGTTTCTTGTGTTTAACTTCTTTAGCAGAAAACTAAAATGTTAAAGAAAATAAGTAAAAAATATTGTTGGGTATTGTGTAAAGGTTTAGAGTAAGTGTATTTAAGTTTTGTTTATTTGCAATCTTTGTTGTCACAAATTATTTTAAAATATGTATTTAATCTAGTAAGGATAGATGAATTAAAATGTGCCTTTGCAGCCTTTTTAAAGATTTTATCTGTAATACTTCATCAACTTAATTCTTACAACTATTTAAAAATTATTAATGTGAGTTCATTGATGGCAGACCAAGTAGTAACTTCTATAAAACACACTAACAGAGCACAGCTGTCAGCTAAGGCAATTTTAAATGTTCAGACTAGAATCTTCAGTTTTAAGTGAAAGTATAAAACCTCCTGAAGTTCTTCCACAAAATACCCTTTAAAGATGAAATTTAAATTTACTGACAACTGAATTGCAATGATTTTCTGTACCATGTATGTAGTAATGTGATATGATCAAATATTTTCTGGACAATGGCTTTAGTAAAAATCAGTACTTTATTCTTTTTCACATAAATATTTCTTATTAAGCAATAACATACTATGATGTGTGATTTCTCTACAGGTAAAAGAATGAAATTTTGATATAGCTTTAATTAACTCTTAGGCATAGCTGATTTTTCCCAAATAAAATGTGAAAGATCATTTTAAAAATTTCATCTCTCAACCAGATGTTTCAAGAACATTTTCATGTAACTGCCTAAATTGATTAATTCGAAGAGCAAGATATCTTTTCTTAGAATTTTTAATCTGCTCCCGGCAAAGTAGTGTAAGTTCTCTCTCTTTCTCTCTCTCTCTCACACACACACACACACACACACACGTATATGTATATATTATATATAGTCTTTGAGAAGAACTGTCTGCCATTTGAGAAATAGGTACATGAAATGTCAGAAATTCATGTAGACCCAAGTAGCAAACTGGTAGTCCACACAGGCCAGTTTGACCCATATTTTTTTTATTTGGTATACATAATGTTTCAAAAGTGTTTGAGGCGGGTGCAGTGATGCACTCCTATAATCCCAGTGGCTTGGGAGGCTGCGTCAGGAAGATCACGAGTTCAGAGCCAGCCTCAGCAAAATCGAGGTGCTAAAGCAACTCAGTGAGACCCTGTCTCTAAATAAAATACAAAATAGGACTGGGGAAAAGTTTCTGGGACTGGGAGGATAACTCAGGGGTGCAGCACTTGCCTACCATGTGTGAGGACCTAGATTGGATTTCCAGCACTGTTGAAAAAAAAAAAAGGCCAGATTTCATGATTTTGCCAGTGTTATAATTACTATTAAGCATATGCATTTTAAATTATTTCTTAAGAGTGTATCTTTTTAATGTGGTGCTTTCTCAAAGATTATTAAATTAACACTGTAACTGAAATTTTAAAATTTTTGCAAATATTTTTTATTTAATAATAAAAGCCTATTTTAAAATTATTTTTTTTGTTTTGTTTTGTTTTTGGAGATGTATTATTCCAAGTACAGAAAACAATGTCACGATTGAATAATATGCCCAAGCTTGAACTGTATACATATTCCCCCTTACCCTATCTGTATAGTGAGGCAAATAGCAAGGGAATAGCAGAGCAGGATCAGTAACTAGAAAATTTTCCACATGGTGTGTGCACTCTGAGGAAAAAAAAAAAAAAAGCATTCTGACATCATACTTATCTGAATGTTTTTTCACTCAGTCTTGGATCTGATTACATTTATGTTAGTAAATATATTGTGAACAATTAAAATGAAGAGGTATCAATTAACCAAGGATTTAGTTAGGCTGGGAATGGAGTCTGGGTAGAGATGCTGTAGAATCTGAGTTCAGACATGAAAGATTATGGCAGGTGAGACAAAGGGAAGAGGTACATTTTGTGTTAAATTTACATCATTATGACAGGTCACCTGAGAAACACCAACTTAAGAATAGGAAATGTTTATTTTGGCTCACAGCTTCATAGGTTTCAGTCCACAGTCACTGGGCCCATGTCAAGGCAATACATCATAGTGGAGGAAAACGGCACTGCCTCATGACAGCCAGAAGCAAACAGGTAAGCCAGGGATTGGAGTCCCAATGCTCCCTTCCAGGGCCCACCCTCTATGAGCTAACCTCCTCCAACTAGGACCCACTTCCCCATAGCACTGTCAGGGACCAAGCCTTTAACACATGAGCTTTGGGGGCTGGAGATGTGGCTCAAGCGGTAGCGCGCTCGCCTGGCATGCGTGCGGCCCGGGTTCGATCCTCAGCACCACATACAAAGATGTTGTGTCCGCCAAGAACTAAAAAATAAATATTAAAAAATTCTCTCTTCTCTCTGTCTCTCACTCTCTCTTTAAAAACAAAACAAAACAAAAAAAAACAACACATGAGCTTTGGGGGAATATTTAAAATCCAAACCATCACAACAGCCTAATTCTAGGAATATTCTTACAGCCATTATCCAAGGGGAAACCAGTGACTATGAAGGATTTTGAGAACAGTTCTAGCTCAAAATTGTAGACCTAACCTGAAAAGATTTCCCTAAGTATTAAAAGAACTAGTGTCCAGAGAAGAAAATGTAAACAACCACAAAAGTGTAATTTGTGCAGAAACCTATGACTGACAGGTGAAACCATCTACTTCTATGTGGTACATGGATAATTCCACAAAGAAGTTGCTACTCAGTGTGTTGAATAGATTAGCAGCAGCATCTGGGAGATTGTCAGAAACTCAGAATCTCAGGTTGCATCTGAACTGAGTCAGAATCTTTGAGCTATATCACCAGATTCAAATACACAGGAAGTACATAAAGAGTAATAAAAGTATGTCTAATTCTAAGAAGTACCCCTCTATAGAGTCAGTGGTTCTTAAACTTTAGCTGTATAAGAACCACCTAAAGCACACACACACACCATTTCTGTACCAGAGGTATCCAGAATCCCATCCCCAGAGCTGATGCAGTAAATCTGGTGTGGAACCAGAAATTTCCTAGGATACAGATGTGGGGGTCAGGGATATAGCTCAGTTGGTAACATGCTTGCATTGAATGCACAAGGCCCTGGGTTCAATCCCCAGTACCACACACACACACGCAAAAAGATGTGGGCTGTCTAGGAGACACTGTAAGAACTACAGTTCCAAATAGATCTCAAGCCTGGCTACAAATTAGAATCACCTGGGGAGTTGAAAAAAAATAAAAGTGATGCTACAATTAGAATCATCTGGGGAGTTAAAACATAAACTCCATGCTCTGGCCTCACCCTATATATTGAGTTGGTTTTGGTTTTTCCCTGTTGTTTTCTTTTTTGCAGTAGATTGAACTTAGGGTGCTCTACTGCCCAACTATAGCCCCAGACTCTTTAGTTTGGAAAAGGGTCTTACTAAGTTGCCCAGTCTAGCTTTAAAGTTGTGATCCTCCTGCCTCCATGTCTGGAGTAGCTGGGATTAAGATGTGTACCACGTCACCCAGCTACTAAGTTGGTTTTTGTATATTGATTTTTGATTCTTTCAATCTTTGCTGAATATATTTATCAGCTCTAAAAGTGTTCTATTGGAATCTTTAGGTCTTCTAAATACAGGAATGATTCATCTACAAATAGAGAAAATTCGACTTCTTCCTTTCCAATTGTATATCCCCTCCTTTTTTTTCCTTATCTAATTGCTCTGGTTAAATGTCAATACTATGTTGAATAGGAGTAGTGAAGTGAACATCTTTGTCTTGGTCTTGATTTTAAAGGAAAAGGCTTTCAGTTTTTCTCCATTTAATAAGGTGATGGCTTTGGGTTTGTCACATAGACCCTTTATTATGTTGAGGTCTAATTCTTCTACCTCTAGTTTCTTCATGGTTTTTATTGTGAAAAGGCATTGAATTTTGTTTTTTCTGCAGCTATTGACATGATCACATGATTTTTCTGTTTTTGATTCTGTACATGTATTGCATCATATTCATTGATTTGTATGTTAAACCATCCTTGTGCCCTGGAATGAACCACCTTGGTCACTGTGTATGGTGTTTTTAATATGTTATTGAATTCAGTTTGCAAGCATTTTATTGACTTTTTGGTGCACATTCATTAAGGATATTGGTCTACAATTTTCTGTCCAAGTGTGTCT